TAAAAACAAAATGGTTGTATGAAAAATAATTGATTTGGATGTTGATTTTCGTTAAAAAGTAATTCTGAAATATACCTTTGTCCTTCACTAATTTAGATGATGACAAACTATGATTCCCCAAAAGTAGTAAGAGCTCCAAATGATCACAAGGATAGCACTCAATCACACCAGCTTTTATTTAGATTGCCGTTAGAAAGACTTAGCATTATACATTCACTCTCTTTCTCAGAAAACAAAATGGCTTCTGTAGATTTGGACCATTCAATTGAACTGACCTGCAGATTAACCGGGATTGTCAAGCATAATATAAGTTAAGCACAGTGCTGGCTGATGGGAGAGAAGAGAAGGTGAACTGTGGGGTCAGTTTAGTCTGATAAATTATGAACAGCAGCAGCCAGGGTGGTATGGAGATATGGATCTGAGAGCTCACTTAGAGTGCAGGCTGATAAACATGTGGAAGACAGAGAAAAAGGAGTATGACTTTAGTTGTGAGTTTAGGTGGTAAGTGAATAAAACCATGACTGAAGCTGATGAACACACTATGAGGACTAGACTTGAATGAGGAGGCACAGCAGAGTGTTCAGGAAGTAGAGGGCCAGGCATGTCTCATTACACTGGACCGCCTCACCTGGGGGTAGCTCCTCACCTGAAGTTTGTGAATGAGAGAACTAGAAAAATCAATCTGTGAATCACCATCGTATAAGACAGTAGTTGAAACCATGGGATAGGTGAGGTAAGATCTGATGAGGAAATCCTTGCTGTCATACATTATTTAGGGAATAAGTCAAGTAATGGTGCATTCACTTAGTGGATTTCCCCACAATCATTAAAATGATCATAACGAAGGCTAGGAACCAATATGGAAAACTTGGACAGGCTAATTTTAAAAGATCAGAACATACCCACAGAATAACATGAATGAATCTCTAAAGCATTATACTGTGTGAAAGAAGTCAGACACAAAAAAACATACTATATGTTTCCATTTAAGGAGCTCTGGTAGCGTAGTGGTTACGAATTGGGCTGTGAACCTTAAGGTCAGCGGTTCGAAACTACCAGCCGCTCCGCAGGAGAAAGATGAGGCTTTCTACTCTCGTAAAGATTTACACCCTCGGAAACCCTGTACAGGGTCGCTATGGGTCGGAACCAACTTGACAGCACTTAACAACAACAACAACAATATGTTCCATTTACATAAAATTTCAGAGAAGACCAAACTAATCCATGGTAGGAAAAATAAGATCAGTGTTTGCTTCTGGGGGAGAAGGAACCCACTAGGGAGCGGCATGAGGGAATTTTCTGAGGCAAAAGTAATGCTCTAAATCTTGGTAAGGGGGTCGTTTACATGAATGTTTGCATTTGTCAAAACTGATGGGGTGATAAACATTGCACTGTATATAAAATTACACCTTAGTAAAATACATTACAAATTGTATATAGTCATATAAACAAAGACAAGAGAATATGCAAATATAAAGTTATGTCAAGGCATGATTATGGGCTATTCTCACTTCAAAATTACTTAATTTTATACATTGTTCTTAAGTAAAGAGGAATTTTAGAACCTCCAATGCCCATGAAATATTTATTTACCCATGAAAATTCAAAGTACTTTATTATCATTTCATTTTATCAGGGGAAGACAGAAAGAGTCTACAATTAAGGAGTTTGATACCTGAAGCCAACAGGAAAGACAGGATAGAATAAATATATCAATATAAAGCATCAAGAGATCACCCAGTGAGAGGACTTTCCGGGCTTTGCTTTAAGGAGTCTAAGAAAAAGGATTTCTAAAGAGCTTTGTAGAAGAGAATGGAAAGTCATTTCAGGAAGGGGATGTGGCTGGTGCAGAATGATGCAGGTTGTATTTGAAGTAGATTAGCTTATCTTGCAAGTAGAAGGCGCACATCAAATACAAGTGAGATGTCAATGAGAAAGCCAGTTAATGGGGGTTGGGTGGAGAGACTGGAGGTGAATTAGATTCTGAAGGTCACAAGGGTAGGCTTAGCTCGAGTTTCAGTGCTTCTGAGTTGTCATTTATTCTGTGGGTTCTCAGTAGTTTGGGAAATTGATTCTAATTATCATGGAGAAAATAAAGAAAGAAAAATTTACCAGTGGGAGAATACCAATGGACTGCCCCTCCCCCCCTTTTTTTTCCAGAGCAAAAGGATTGCTATTCTGATGATGGTGATCATGCAGCTCTTGGAGTTACCTGCAAGGAATGTTCTAGTTACTTTATAAGCATCAGATTACCCAAGCTCCATAAGAACCCAGCTAAAGATATAACCCCTACCAACAGTGAGCAAATTGTTCTAAAGAAGTTACGTAACTAGGAATGGGTGACCAAAAACCTAGATTACTGACACCACATACTACAATGTTCTACAGTGTCAGAAGAAGACTGATCACACCTCTCACTCACTGAAGAGAAAACACAAAACAAAAAACTTCAGCAAGTTTAAAGGAATTTCTAGTAATATTTAGTTTAATGGTAAGTCATCCCCAGTATAGTCTATATCCTCACAAAACGGTAAATGTACCTACTATACAGCTGTGAAACTGCACCCAGCTTGACACATTTTATTTAACAGTGTTAACACTTGGTGCTGGTGTGGGGCTGTAGGATAAGCACTGGACTGCAAGGTCAGTGGTTCAAACTCACCAGCTGCTCCTTGGAAACCCTATATAGGGTTGCTATGAGTCAGAACCAATTCAACAGCACTTTTAACACCAACACCAACACCAACACTTGATGCTATTAAGTTGCAGCCATCCACTGGGCTAGACCTTTAGCACTAAGTCATGAATGCTCACAACCACTCACTCTTGAGGTAGAGCATATCCTGCTGATATTTTATCCAGAATGGAATTGGACACAAGAGTTACAAAGCAGCTTGTCTGAGGTTACCCAGCTACCAAGGATTTGAACTTGGATTGTCTGGGAACACACTGGTAACCCCTTTGCTCTAATGCTTTAGTTTTAAAACTGAGTAATATAAGCCTTTTCCCTTCATTTTAGCTCATGCTAAAACACATTTTTGTTGCTGCACTTTCATCATAACAAGTTTAAAAGCTTCTCTTCCCTCCCTTCCCAAGATGCCTTATAGTGCTACTTGAGCCATCTTGGCCTGATCTAAGAGCAGAAAGGACACATTCCCTAAGAGGCTAGCCTTGGGTGAAGACATTACAATGGACAGGTCATCCTGACTCTCTGACAGCAGCAGAAAAAGGACACCCAGGTACACGTATCTTATCACAGGCAGAAGGGTAAGAGTGGGTACAAACTGTTACAGTTATTTCCTCTCAGGTCATGTGACTAACTGCAGATGCTGAGTACCTGAGCCCCAATCTAAATTGCCTAACGCTGCTGTCCACTGAAAGCTGAAAAGAGGATTCCCCATTCAAGCAGAGTGAATGAAAACCAGTGTTCCTGTTCAAGTTTCTGCCTTGTCTTGGGAGAGGTTGAAATGTGAACCCTGAGGCAAGCTCATCTCTACCTCCACTTGGTCCATAATGAACTCTAAGACACACACACAAAAAGCTTCCTTCCTGATCGTCTAACTTTATATCCATTACATTATCTAAGATATACACAAAAGCAAATTAAGTTGGTCATTTGGGTAAGTAATCAAAAGAGCTGCAGTTAAATACCAAGGCATAAAGCCTTGAAAGTCTCTAGGAGCTGGCTGCCTGTCAGCTGTGGTTTACTTGGATTGTTTCACCAGAATGCTCAACTTTTTGGGGTCCTGAAACTTCATCTGTTTAAAAATTACTTTATAATAAGATTCCTTCATTTTCATAACCCAAAATAAGGCCAGGGGGAAAAAATGACTGATGCTTGGCTGGGTATTAAGAATCCAGAGTGTTAACTAAGAGCTTGGCCTCCCATTGAGAGGTGGAAAGAGAGAGAGAAAGGAATTCAGAGAGTATGGACTTCATGCTCACTGCCCTCTGATCTTTGTCCTGGGGAAAAATTAAGAACTTTCACAGACTGGCAATGTAAACTCTGGCTCTGTAAAAACAAAAACGGGCAGTTTCTCCTAGAACTAGATGAACACAATTTGCTTCTCTAGCTATTATCTGTTCATTATTTATTTACTTACAAGGGGGCTTCAAAAGTGTGTGGAAATACAGAACTGAAAGATAATTAAATTTTTCCATGAACTTTCTGTACATACTTCTTTTTCAAGTGGAGATAGTCAGTGTATACAGAAAACTGCAAAGGCCAAAGAATTCAGACATGGCTGAAGATAAATGAGGAAGCTGTTTCTAAAGTAGGGGTTGAAGTGTTCAGGGCAGAAGGGATGACTTTAACATGACAGTTGAAGTAAAAAAGGCAGTATTGCTTTCTTTCCACCCTTGATGATCCTTCCCTCAGACATAAACTAAAGAATTAAAACAGAGTCCAGGTTGGGCACAGCATCACTGGGTGGCAGGACCACAGTCATGGAAGGCACATGCCTCCCTGTGCAGCTGGGTTGTTATTCACCATCCAGATTATCAGACTAGCAAAGAGAATGTTCCTAACAAGCTGTCCCTAGTGCACTGTACCCTTTAAACTACTAACAAACCACCTCAAGGAAGTGTAATGTAGCTACTGTGATTACAGAAGGAATTCCACTCCCCCCAATACTTTAATATAAAAAGTGATTATATTAAAAATAATAATAATAGAATGGCATTATTTAGCAGGAATCCACACAATCCCAAGCATCATCCTGTCCCTCTCTTTAAAAAGAGAAATGTTTTGGTCATCAGAGACAGGCTTCCTGCAGAAGCTCTGCTAGGCTTAGTCAGATCACTGCCAGGAATTCTGTGAACTTGAGGTCAAGCTGCCAAGAGTCTAAAGAAATGTTGTTAGTAAGTGTTTGCACAGATACTAGAGTGGGAGAACTAACAACTGCCAGCACACAACTCCAGACACAATGCAGAATTAAGAAAACCAAATTTCCAGTTTCCCCCTCTTCACATGAAATTTAAAAACAAAAAAGAGCTCTTACCTAGCTCTCCCCGGAGGTTAACAAGTTCTTGAGATAGGGTTTTGTGTTGTTTCAGTGCTTCCTCCCTCTGCGGAAAACACACATCAAGTTACTAATGTTTACAAGAGGGTCCTCTGTAGTAAGGCATACATTTGTTATCACTAGGAAAACCAGACCCAGAATTGAGAAGCCAAGATATGAATCATTCAAGCTAACAGTTTGTGTTGTTACAAAACACAGATATCCCTTTAGTTGTTAAGGAAAATAAGTGTTTAAAAAATCTGTATTGTCCCAGGTCCTGGTGAAACTTTCCTTTGAGGCACTGAATGGTCCATTTCAAAATATTTACTCTGAGTCAACAGTTCCCTGCTGACCCATGGAAGCTTCAGCTAAAGCATACTGTACTTAAGATGTGATGCATTCTCCTCCTCTAAGGGCAATAAAGGCCTAATCAGCTCAAGATAAATATTTAATGTTCTAAACATATGCTAATATGTACTTTGTCCTATAGGCACAAATAAAAAAGTTTTGTTACAGGGTCAAGCCTAAATTTTTTACTTCTAAAAAAAAAGAAGGACTAGAAGTTTGTTATGAAACAGTGGCACAAAACACAAGTCATCCTTTAAAGAAAAAAACAAATTGTTTTAAATCAGTTACATGCTATTTTCTAAGAATGAATCCGTTTTAGATCAGCTATAGTTCTCAACAGGTTTTAGAAAAATCAAGTAGGCAGTTGTTTCAGTATTAAAAACACAGTTAACAACCTTGCAATAAAGAACAACTTTCAAGTTACCAGCGACACACAGCAACCCCAGAGGCACACACACTTTTACAGATACAAGCATTACACATAGTTCCTTAGAAGGAAGATTGTCCAGCACCCAGGCATAACTAAGGAGAACACAGACTCTTGGAAGCTCATTGGAAGTGCCCTCCCTAGGATCACCAGCGATGAAGCTTCAGCTGCATCCTGATCACCGGGTTGCAGACATCATGAGGCCCACACTCTTTACAGGCAAGGGTTGTTTGTCATTCACAGCATTTCCCCCCTAATTCCAGACAACCTCTGCCTGAGTCCCTGACATCCTTCCAGAAAAGCACTATAAACAAATACTCATTACCCTTGTTGCTGCACATGGAGAATAGAGGCACATTTTGCTGCCGGAGCAGCCCATTTTCCAGCTTCTGTCTCCAACTCCCCGCCCCCCTGCACTGTCGGAGAAGTGCACAGGTGGCCACACCACCCACCAGCCGGGTCTGTCTACATTCAAAGCTCTACCAGGAAGAACGCCATTGGCCCTCGGTTAGCCTTACTTCACGTCCTGGTCCTGCAGGTTACAGTAAGCCTCAGATTCCTCTCTCCCACAGAAGCTGATACTGCAGCTTCTGCCTTTGGCAAAAGCAGCCGGAGATCACTTAAAGCCACAGCCCTTCATTTATGAAAATGAGAGCAAGACATTAGACTGATCGATTGCCACTTACTTAAGTATCAGCTGGTAGAGTGGAAGGAAAAAACTGACTTCTTCATGGAGAGTGGAGTTATTTTTAGATTTGTGAGTCTTTTTATTCGTCTCTCTAATTGAGGTCACTAGATGATCACTCACTCTTACTAACAGAAAAAGGAAACCTGTTTTCCAAAACCTGTATCCTATATGGGGTTATGAACTAGGTGAACAGCAATAAAAGTGTGAATTGTTTTGATTTGGAATTTAAATATTAGAAAATGAGTGGTGTACCACTCACAATTTGGATGTTTATTCAACACTGTCCATTGGTGTTAGGGGGGTGTTTGTAATGCTAATTTGAGATTTGAAGTTTTTATAATAAATTTGACTGAATTTTTTCCTCTTTCACAACAGAGCTAAGGAAGTTAACTGTAATTGTCTATGCTGCCACATAATCAGCTAAGAAAGACTAATATATTTTATTGAGTACATTGTAGCCTTGATTATATTCTAAATGCTTGACTTTTAAAATGCAGTATTAAGTTGTTCTGAAATCACAAGTCAGTGTGTGTGTCCAAGTTTTGAAAATTAGCAAATAACTGGTTTTTTAATAGAGAAAGGTGAAAGGAAAATCAACCAAAATAAAAATGGGGGAAAAAAATGAAAAACAAATGAAACATGCACATACGCATATGCTTATTATATTAGTCTCATAAATGTAAGCCTTTGTGTTTGTTTAGTAATCTAGGTTTAACTAAGTCATGAACATGAACATGAACCTACATTACCCTGCAACACATTCTATGTGAACTTGTCTGAAATTCACTCTTCTAACTAGTAGCCAAGAGACCTGTTGTGGCACTGTAGAATCAACACTGGACTGCAAACCGCAAGGTCAGTGGTTCAAACCCACCAGTCGCTTCTTGGAAACCCTATACAGCGTTGCTGAATTGGAAATGACTTGATGGCACTTAACAACCATCACCACCATAGTAGCCAAATTGCTAACAGAAATAAGAGCCGGCCAAAAAAAGTTAAAAAGGAAACTAAAGGGAAGACTTAAAAATTAAGGTGGCTTAATTTTGAAGAGCAGTCTTGTAGAAACTGTCACCTTCTATGCCAAACATACATATTCTGGGTGATATTTCTTCTTATTAAAGAGATTTTGGGGACAAGAAATTTTAGTACCCATGTGAACATTTCCCTCAACTCCACTGCATTCAACCTTCATGTCTTCAATCAGTGTCTCAGAAGCCATGGAACGTCTCACCTCTGTCCATTACTGTAACTGGGAAACCTGAATTGTACTAGAGTCAGGCTGCCCTTCATTCAGAAGGTATCTCTAATCCTCTGCACTTTATCTATTAGTGCCAGCCCCCCGCTAGTCTGCTCTTCACCAACCCATTCCTAGACTGGAGAAGCATTCCTCTGCATCACCTGAGAGAGTCCTGGTGTGGCTCTGTTAATGAGCACTGGAATGTTAACCATAAGGTCGGTGGTTCAAACCCACCAGCTGCTCCCTGGAAACCCCATACAGGGTTGCTATGAATTAAAACTGACTCAATGGTACTTAACAACAATACACCACCTGATAGAAATAATAATATTAATAATGGATTCCTTGGGTAGAGAAAACTGTTGACATACTCAGCTCACACTAAAGGTTGTTGGTTTGAGTCCACCCAGAAATGGCTTGGAAAAAAAGTCTTGTTGATTAATTTCCAAGAAAATCAGCCACTGGAATCCCTATGAAGCATACGGGTCACCTTGAGTTGGAATTGACTGAATTGCAACTGATTTTTTTTTTTTTTTAATATGTATAAACTCCCTTGCTCAAAAAATCTCCCATTGAGTGCATAAAAAATAAACTTCCCTTGAGTTCCATGGACCTCAATCATTCAGCTCCTGTTTAGAATCCCAACATCCCTCTGTCCAAGTCACACTTGCCATTCACATCCCATCTCCACAATCTTGTCAATGTCACCCTTTATGGAATGCCTAGTCATCTTTACCTGACTTGCTATATAAAACTTCTGGGAAGGCTAAATGTCCACCTCTCCGTCCTCCCCAGATGCCATGAATAGACATTTATCATTTTGAATTGTTTGGAAGTTATTACTAGTAGCAACCAACCAAACATCATTCCAGATGTTGTGAAAAATCAGAAGGAGATTTAAGAATTCCAGTCTTCAAAGGCGTCTGGGGCTTACAGAGAGCTAACATCCCAGGCCCATTTCTTTGGTGATCTCTAGCTGAGGGGATGCAGCACAGGATGATGGAAAAATGAAGGATTTCAGTAGCAAACACTTTGGAGGACAGTTCTATCCACTGCTTACTAGCTATGTGACTCCAGTCATGCGACAAAATTTCTCAGGTTTCTCATTGATAGACTAGGAATAATGCTTAACCCAAAAGGAGATTTATGAGCGTCAAATGTGACCCATGATGCACGTACTATTAATAGATGCATACTAAATGTTGGTTCCTGCTTCACAATCCCTGCAGCTTATCCTTCCACATTGTTGTTGTTGTTGTTAGGTGCCATTGAGTCAGTACCGACCCACAGCAACCTTATGCACAACAGAACAAAACACTGCGCAATTCTGGGCCAACCTCACTACTGTTGCCACACTTGAGTACATTGATGCTGCCACTTGGCCAATCCGTCTCGTTGGGGGTCCTCCTCTTTTTCTCTGACTCTCCACCTTACCAAACACAATATCCTTATCCAGTGACTGGTCCTTCCTGACAATATGTCTGAAGTAGGAGAGACGAAGTTTGGCCATCTTGGCCTCCAAGGAGCACTCTGGCTGCACTTCTTCCAAAACAGATCTATTGGTTCTTTTGGCAGCCTTTTACTTGTGGATGATAAAATACATTGTGTCAATTAGGTACTGATTTACTGTTTCTTATAATTCAGCTTCTTCTTCATCAATGTTTCTGTCTTAGATGATAAATAAACTTTATAGTCTGGATAAGTTTATTTAATTTTTCTTCATATTATGATAAGTGAAATTCCACACATAGAGGAGGAAAAAAAGAGGGAGGTGGGAATATGGATAGAAAAATGCTTTCATGCTCATGCATTAAACAAATGAAATGCTCCAAGGGGAAAAAAAAAAAAAACCCCAGACTCACTATAATTTAATTAGGAGTCCCTAGGACAGAAGCACTTAGATGCTGGCTGTTGTCCCATCAATGAGCCTGGGGATTTTGCAGAAAATAGTCACATCAGATGGTATTTGGTGTGACATCTATCTTACATCACCAATGGAGCACAATGAATGTGCATAGTGTGTCCACTGCTTTTGATGTGTGACAGTTTTACTTTTAGTAGATTGCTAGTGTCATTCAAAAATCACCTCTGTTTAGGTGCTACAGTAGGTTAGACTCCGTTTACAAACAAATAATAATAATAATTTTAAAAAAAGAATTGGAGGTGCTGTGAATTTTAGGCAGAGGTTAAGAAGACTGACCTCAGTCCTACTGAGGTTTAGCTAGGATTATTCCCTTTATGAAGATATTGGGATTACTACCATCGATATGGAGTCCTGGCATGGAGTTATAGGATAAGCACTGGACTGCTAACTGCCAGGTCAGTGTTTCAAACCCACCAGCCACTCCTTGGAAACCCTATACAGGGTTCTTATGAATCAGAAGTGAATTAACAGCACTTATTAACAACCACCATCAACATTGTCCTTCACTTTGGCTGTCTGTGAAGATACTGTACAACTCTACAAAGATAAACTAAGGCTAACAATCAGAGAGTGTTCACTGAGAAACAGAAAGTGTGGTAATCATTTCGAGATTTAAGAGACATTAACTTCTGCCAAATAATCAAAGATATCTGCCACTACAGTGTGAAAGTTGTAATCCTCAGATCTGCAACAAACGCTGGTAGTTCCAAGATTCCCTAGAACCAATCGATATTTTTACCTATAAGCTAATGCTGCAAAATAGTTAAAAAAAAAATATATATATATATATATATAGTTAACCATATAATACTTCTGTAGTGAGTTGCGTTTGTGAGAAACAAAGGGTTAAGAGAATTTTCTTTTAATTGTTTGACTTTTATTCTAGTTATGTCTTTCCTTTCCAACTGTTTTATAGCAGTGCCCCATAACCTTTTGACAATCAGTAAATATTTGCTGACTGATTATAAAGAAGGAGAAGAAAAAACAAAACAAAACAGGTGTACACTTTGTATATTATGTATAAGACCCTGTCTTAGGTGCTGGGGTGGTTTCATACAACTATACTCAGGATCCGATTCTCAATGAGCTTCCTGTCTTAAAAAGTCAAAACAAGTGCTAAATGGACATCTATTATATAAGGTGGAAAGTGCAAAAGAAGTACAGAAGTACCTAGAATCCACATGGTGGAGATAACAGGTAGGAGGCCTGAGAATACCTTCATTAAAAAACGAAAGAAGGAAAAAGCAAGGTGTGTGGGTGTGTGAGCTGTAATTTTAAGAAATTTAGTCACTATTACATAGGTGTTAGGACCTAAATTTTGATGAAATTCACAAACAGGAAAATCATCCCTGAAATTCATTAAGAGGTTTGCCATGGGTAAACGGATATAGCATCTCTCAGTATATCCAACCTAGTGGGTTTTTATCTCTAATGTTGGATCTGCTCTTTCTCCAACTGAGCACCCTGACAAATACTTGACTTATCTCCAAGGGGAAGGTTGTGTGGTGAAAAAAGTGGCTTTAAACATTAAAATCACACATAATGTGCATGCCACTGAGGTATCTGAGGACTGAGAATGCACTAGAAGGAACACCAGTCTTGCATCTCACATCCCCTTGGAGGCCTTTGCTCACTGAGGAGGGTGGAAGGCAGAGCTACCTGCTCTGTGTCTTCTGCATTTCCATTTGGTTGGTTGTATAATGAATCTATGTAAACTAAATGCCGGTAATGATGTGATGTTACGATAAGACAGACCTGAACATGCAGAAATTATAGAGAAGGGCAGTGGCCCAACACTTACAGCACTTGAACAAAGGGTGAAAAGTATAGGTAGTTTATGGGATATTTTAAATTCATAGTACTCTAGACTGGGGTTTAAGTCCTGGTTCTCCTTTTGCCGGTCTTCAGATGACAAGACAGTGACTTAATAGCTGTATGCCTCAATTTTATGATTTGTAAATTACAGCTCATTTTGGTATGGATTTAATTAAGCAGTTTAGACTATCTGGTGTACTCAGTAAATACTCAACAAATAATAATTCGCTCTTTCCCCAGCCTTCAAACCCACTGCCACCGAGTCAGTTCTGACTCAGCAACTCTATAGGACAGAGTAGAATTGCCCTATTGGATTTCCCTGGCTGTAAATATTTACAGAGTCCTGGTGTGGTACTGTAGATAAGCAATGGACTTCAAAGTTGGCTTGAATCACAAGGTCAGTGGTTCAAATCCACCAGCACTCCTTGGAAACCCTATTAAGGGTCGCTGTGAGTTGGAACCGACTTGATGGCACTTAACAGCAGATATTTATGAAAGCAGATTGCCTCATGTTTCTCCTGTGGACTGGCTGGTAAACTTGAACCACCAACCATTCAGTTAGGCATAGAGCACTGTAACTACTGCACCATTAGAGCTACTTCCCTCTCCCCCACCTCCCTAATATATAGCATGAGCATACAGACAGTGAACACAGTAGGGTTAGAAAGGCCACTTGCACCAAATTATGCTTTGTTGTTGTTGTTGTTAAGTGCCACTGAGTTGGATGCTAACCCTATATAGGGTTTCTGAGGAGTGGCTGGTGGGTTTGAACTGCAGACCCTGTGGTTAGCAGTCTAGTGCTTACCCTACAGTACCACACCAGGACTCCTATGTTTACTTAGTGACCCTCAAGTCAGCTCTGACTTGTGGCTACCCTACATTAACAGAAGAAAACATTGCCTAGTCCTGTGCTAGTCTCACAACTGTTGGTAGGCTTGAGCCAAATTATTGACAGCTTTTTATGCCAAGTTATAAACCAGAGCTACCTAATAGAAGTAAGCCACATATGCAATTTAAAAGTTCCTAGTAACCACACTTAAAAAGGTAAAGAAAAAAAAGATGAAATTAGTTTTAATAATATATTTAATTATATTTATCAAACTATCCATATGAGCATATCAACTTATAATTAACTGTTATTTGTTGTTACGCGCTGTCAGGTCAATTCCGACTCATAGTAACCCTATACAGGGTTTCTGAGGTTTTGCGGTAGAGAAAGCCTCATCTCTCTCCTGTGGAAAGCTGATGAACTTGAACCTCCAGCCTTGTGGTTTGCAAACCAGTGCTTATTTTACAGAGTCACCAGCTAGCTATGATTACACTTATTATTATGCATCTTTAAGTTCTGTGTTAAGACTTCAAAAAAATCTGTTGTGGATTTTACACTTATGTTGTTGTTGGTAAGTGCCATCGAGTGGATTCCGACCCATAGCGACCCTGTTAGGGTTTCCAAGGAGTAGCTGGTGAGCTGGAACCACCGACCTTGCAGTTCAAACAACTTTGCAGCTGATGCATTAGCCCATAGCACCACACCAGGACTCCTTAAGAAATCTCAAGTCATACTCAGCACATTTCAAGTACTCAATAGCCTCAATAGGCTAGTGGCTGCCATCATGCACAACAATGAAAAACCATTGAAGGTTTTAATTAGCAGAGTAGGCTGCTTTGGAAAGATTATATGATAGCAGTGTTTGGATGGACTGTAAGTGAGAAAGAGTACGAATGTGAAGACTGTTTAAGAAATTATAATCTAGTAGACAAATTATGGGTCACTGTGAGTTGGAGTCTACTTGATTGGCAATGGGTTGGTTGGTTTTAGTAAGCAGGTATCCAGGGTGTGAACAAAGATGGCATTAATAGGAATGGCAAAAAATCAGCCACAGGGGAGAAACACTGGGATGAGATTGCTAGGACTCAGTGATGAATTTGATATGGGAGATAAAGGAGATAAAAGAGTTGAAGGTGAGGTTTTTAGGTTGACTACAACAGAAACAAAATTTGCTCTATTTGATGTTATGTGGTTTTCAATTCATCTCTATTAAGTAGGCTACACAAGGGGGCTTCAGAAGAGTATTCCATTTTTCTACAAACATTTTGAAGTCTCGCCTTGTATAAGTAACTCGAATTGCTCTTTTCCATATTAAAGAGAAACCAAAATATTGTATACTGCTGCAACTAAAACACTAGGCAAAGGTCTCCAACTTCATCTCAAAAAACATCTGGCCAGAGCTATAAAATGTTCATCAGATTATTGATCTGAACTATTAGCTTGGGAATTCCTCAAAGGTAAAGTTATTCACCCTTGTTCTGCCTCTGAAAAACAGACAACTACAGCACAGTGGATAAAATAGTGGTGCTGTGGGTTAGGTATTACACTGCTGACTATAAGGGCAGTGGTTCAAACTCACCAGCTGCTCTGTAGAAAAAAAGATGAGGCAGTCTGCTTCCATAAAGATTTATAGCCTCAGAAACCCTATACACAGTCACTAAGAGTTGGAATCGACTTGGTGGCATTGAGTTTGGATTGGTTTGCTTGAACTGACCTGAATGTCAGACATGTTTAATTGTTTTCGTCTTTTCAGATATCATGTGCATCTATCTGCAAAACTGTGATTAAGAAACACTAAAGAGCTCAAATTATATTCTCACCCTAGTTTTCCTTTCAGATAATTATAGTTTTGTTGCTATGTCAGTAGCATATGTTCAGATAAACTTGCTTTTCTCAGTGAATATTAACCAGTTCCCAAATTAACATTTCTGTGGAATATCAAAGAAAAGCAAGCAAACAAAGAAAACCTGTTTTACTTTGGCTGCGTGACAACACAAATTATTTTAGGAGTAAGTGGAAATTCTGAAGCATCCCCAGACATAAAAATGGGAGTTACCTCAAAAATGTTCACTGGCTCACATATATAAGCAATCTCATTTTTCTATGTATTAAATGAAGAAAATATTAAGAAAATTTCCCACTCTACATTTCTAGAGACTGGCTCAGATATCAAGTGAGTTGAAGAAAAGTATATTTGGACAGATTATATCTCATCTTTCCAAATCATTAAAGATACTAGAAGACCAAGCATGAAGATTGTTCTGCCTCCCCTTTCTGTCCCCTTCCCCACCGATCCTCAGTGAAAAAGATAATTTAGAGTCTACGAAGCCTCACCTCAGATAGTAGGTGCTGAATCACAACAACTAACGCTTCAAACTTGGTGTTACCACAGGATAGAAGCTGTTTGAGCTGCAGGATCAGTCCACTTTGGTTTTCACATTTTGTTTTATATTGAGCCAGTTCAATGGTTTTTTCAGTGGACAATACATCTGGAGACGTCTGTGTCTGGGTGCATAAACTTCTGGGATTCTTTTGCCTGCCCTTTTCAACTGCAAAAGAAATTAATACAGGCACTGTAATACATGATGTGAATTCTTATCATCATCACTGCATGGGCACACAAACAACCACATAAGCCACAGAAATGAATTTATACTCTATTTATTTATATAAGGCAAGCATATGAGTAAGAACTGGAAACAACCAAGTATCTCCATGTTGGGCATTCATAAGCACAAACAGTGGCTTTAGCCCTGACTTTAGAGATTATGAGGGGCAGAGAACTGTGTACATGAAGTAAGTAGATTTAGCAGTACAGAAACATGGGCACCGTGTGAGGAATCATGTTGAGGTCATAGAACCTAGTTTTCCAATTAAACTGGCACAGAAACTGACTCTCATTCAGTACGCTGACTCTTCACATTGAGCACATATGCTGAAAGCCAAACAAATGACTGGACTTTAAATAAATGCTTTCCCCTCTTCCTGTACATTTTCCGTAAATGTTTCATCCTTTGCCTGCTGATGGCCTGGTCATTACAAAGATTTATACTGCAGAGTGAGTAATTTCCTAATCTGTAGTAAATCATCACAGACATTGAAAATCTACTCACATTTGCCCCTTATCTTAAATTCACTGCTAAGAACATCATACATTTGAGTACACTACTCATTTTCTATCAAACACAGACAATGAATATCAGTTTTATTTGAGGAGCTGGGGAAGGCTCCTTGTCAAGTAATAGTAACAGCTTAAATTTTGTTTTAAAAGCACATGCTAATTTCTCCAAACCCACCTAAAATGCTATGCTAAATGCTGATTCACTTTCATTCCCATGGTACTCTGGGAACTACTGTATTTTAGATGAAAATAAAACACACAAAACAATGGTTCAGTTTTGGAGCCATACCAAAATGTCTCAGTCACTTTAAATATCAAATAGACTTAGAAAAACAGGAAGCAAACTGTTAGAGGTCTTAAAATAAACATGCCAAATAATCAAAACAAATCTAAATTAGAAAAAAAGACATAAGGAATTTAAAAATTATTCTCACAAGCATTCCCTATGGTATCATCCACATTCTGAGTCAAGGAACAGACCTAAGCCAACTTTAAAAGCAGTTAATAATTATTTTCTCTCATTTTTCAGGGAGAGGTAAACAATTGGAGTGATGCTTGCAAGAAAATAAACAAAGAAATCTCAGTATTCCTGTTCCAAGAACCAATGCCAAAATATAGTCAACATATACTTTAAGCTTAAAAAGGAAAAACAAAACTGAAAAATTGCTCTTGTTTTCTATTGCTGCTTTATGTGCTTAAACAATTCATATTTGTACATTTGAAAATTCTCAGCTCTAAAATAATGGACCTATCCATTGTGTTTGAAAAATACCAGAAGAAGGGGAGCAGGTATTCATCTATTATCTTTATTAGCTGTAATTATTAATAGTTGTTCATCCATAATTACTATTTCCACAGTAGATGAAGAAAGTAACCATGCTGATACTGCCACGAAGTTAAAAGTCCTAGAGGAAAATAACTTTCATAGAGACACTTGTATTAATGGAAACATAATCTAAATATTTGATAGCTTGTCTAAATGCCTAAGTTCCTTCGCTTTATTGTCATTTCCTGAAATGTTCTTAGAAATTCCGTCACATAACACATACTTATAATTACACAGTGTTTTACTGTTGACAGTGCATCTGTCTCACTTTCACTCTCTTTTGATCCTCCTAGTAACCTAGATATGGAAGTGAGGCCAAGAAAGTGAAGGGCCTTCGCCTCAAACACAGTCTCTGTATTCCCCTACACTGTGCATGTGGCACACACACATTCATTCCTATACATGTTGGGAAGTGGAGAAGCAATCTAATACATAACTAGGAATATTTATGCAGTAAATTTAGCAAACGTTACCTTAATATATTCAATTATGATGGTATTATCTGATGATAACTTTATTTTGATACATCTACATATAGATAAGGGAGCCCCATGACTTTGTGGGATAAGCACCAGACTTCAAGCCACAAGGTGGAAGGTTCAAGCCCATCAGCCATTCTGTTGGAGAAAGATGTGGCTTTCTGCTCCCACAAATATTTACAGCTTCAGAAACCCTATGTAGGGTTTCTTAACAAAAACAAGTAGATAAACATTTTGAAAAGTATCACCTATCCAAGTTTGACTGCATTTGTACCATGCAAGGTTCATAGTTCTTATCTTCTTGTTCATTTGTAATTTCCCTGGTGACTGTTTTAGCTTCAGTGACAATCCCAATTCTTCTAGCTTCATATAACTAGGGAAGCCAGGGAGAGAAAGCTGACTACTTCAGTAAAACCTAAGCTGTCTAAATACTAGGATGCTTCTCAAAGGCTTTCCTAATGACTGGAGAGCTGAAATTTTAAGGAGAGGGCAGTCCACACACCAGCGTCAGTTTCCAAGTGTCTAGCTATGCGAAACCAAACTTTACACTAAGATTGTTCTGTTTCATGGAGTGATAAAAAAATTGTCACATCTGTACGAAATACAGTTTTTTGTGCTGCTGAAATTATAATCCCATTCAAATATTAAAGACAATTCTGGTCATGTCTACATAATTCCATTAATTTAAATTGATTCTTAAGAACCTAAAAGCTTTGTGATAAGCCTCCCCTAACTTGTTGTTGTGAAGTGCTGTTGAGTGGATTCTAACTCATAGCAACTCTGTATAGGGTTCCAGAGGAATACTGGTGAGTTTGAAGCGCTGACCATGTGGTTCAATCAATAAGCAAGAATTTACTCTCTGGTGAATTCTGCATGTATGCGAAATGATGTATCTAGAAGGATTTTCACAGAAAACTTGTCTGCAAGGAAAAGCTCAAATAACATCTGAAGTTTTAGCCAGAAGACCAGCTAATTTTATGACATTTATATAGTAGAATACTAGTTATAATAAAGAATTAAAAGCTTTCTGTGGAAATTGGTAAATAAAAAAAGCATTGTTGTTGTTAAGTGCTGTCATAGTGACTCTGTATAGGGTTTCTGAGAGCAGCCTGTGGGTTTCAACCATCAAACCTTGTGGTTTACAGTCCAGTGCTTATCCTACAGTGCCACACTAGGGGCTTAAAAAAGATTATGGAAAAATTCCATTATCTTTCAATCCACTTTTCCATAAACTCTTTGAAGCCCCCTTGATGCTCCTTTTGCATACAGAAGGTAAGGGGATAAGCATAATTGCTTTTTGACTAAATGTATAAAATTATTATATAATACATATATAAGGTGCTCTGGTAGCATAGTGGTTACGAATCGGGCTGCGAACCTTAAGGTCAGCGGTTCGAAACTATCAGCGGCTCCGCGGGAGAAAGATGAGGCTTTCTACTCCCGTAAGGATTTACACCCTCGGAAACCCTGTACAGGGTCGGGTCGGAACCGACTAGACGGCACTTAACAACAACATATAAAGTGCTAATAATTTTTCTCTTTTTTGGGGAAGAGACTAAGAATGAAACAGATGAAAGGTGTTCTAGTTTTCTTGGTGCTTTTTGAAGGATCTCTGGTGGTGCCGTGAGTTAAGCACTGTTGACTGTTTCAAATCCACTAGCCCGTCGGTGGGAGAAAGATGAGGCTGGCTGCTCCCATAAGGATAAACAGTTTTGGCAACCCTCTGGAGTAGATCTACGCTGTCCTATAGGGTCATTTTGAGTTGGAATAGACAAGGTGGCAGTAGGTATTTTTTCATACTTTTAAACCATGGGGTAAATGTTTAGTCTATTCAAGCATTAAATAAAAACTGAAAAGGAAATAAACTTATTTTTTAAGGTTGTTGAAATAATTCCTGAGCACTTAAATCCTTACTTAACACCTAACTACCAACAAAGCAGTCAATCAGGTTTCTTCCTTGCAGAATCTAAGTAACATGGGTTTTATAGTATGTGAATAATCAGAACAGATCTAAAACTAGGGAAGAAAGAACACTTGACAGGTTATTATTCCAAGAGTACACGGAACTTTAACCTAAGAGCTAATAAACCAACAGACTGCCCTTCCCCGCAGAGCTGGAAAAGCATACTTAGACCTCAGTCTTCTGTTCCAAATACTGTGCTCCCTATGGACAAATTGCACCACTGGTGGCTGATGACCCAGTTTGAGTAACCTTCCTTTATAACTCACTCATAGCTCAAAGGAAAATTAGAGATGATGCAAAAATATCTAATGATGCTCAGAGCCCTACAGATTAAAAACAGGGCACTTCAAATTACAGTAAAATCTGTAGGAGTCAGAACTCGACAGGACAGGATTGTCTTGTTTTTCTGGGCTCACAAGTTTCCTGTCTTTGACAAGGAGCAGTCTCCACTTTTCCATTGCTCTCTATTTAGTGGGAAATATTTGAATTCTCCCGACAGGTTTCCGCTTTACAGAGGTTCCAACATTCACAGGTTCTACTGTGCTAAAAAAACAATGGTTAGTGGTTATATTCCACTGAGTCAGTTCCAACTCATAGCAACCCTGTAAAGGGTTTCTGGAGCAAAAAGTCTCATCTTTCTCCTATAGAGCGACTGGTAGATTAGAACTTGCAATCAACTTGAGAAATAATTGCAGAACACTGTTTGCTTGCTATTACTGTTCAATCCACTCTAAAGTCTCAATAAAATTTAAAATTAGTTCAAATGACTTATTCATCATCTTCCTAAAAAAAGTAATTGGACTAAGAGAACTAGGTCCATTTCCCAGGCACACAGACATATAGATCTCCCACTTATAACTAAAAATATATTTTGAGAGAAAGACTTAATCATTAATCATTACAAAGACGCTACCAAGGACACACTTTCCTAAAGCAAGACAAGGAAACATTTACTGAATCTGCTGGCTTTCCAGGTTGTTAAAATCAAACTAGAGGAAAGAATTTGGAGAGTTTACCTGGGCTTCTCTGAAACTAAACACAAAACTTAGTAATTAGCCTATTTTCCAGTCTATTCATGGCCTTACCCAATTTTTATCAAAACCTACTGTATGTAAGGAGCTCTGGTAGCGTAGTGGTTACGAATCGGGCTGCGA